TTTTATCGAAAAAAAAAGCGCCAGAATTTACAGTTATGTTATAAGAAAAAAATGGTGTTGAAGTTTTGAAAGACGATCAAACATGAAAAGTTCGCTGTTTTATCCTGCAGTTCAAAAGATCCGTATTTTCCAGTTTTTTCATCCGGAGCGTTTTGAAACGAAATTTGGCGAAAAATAAGTTAACTTTTCTTCGTCACTTCAATTCAGCCTAAACAAATGAACATCACAGTTTGTAGACTTGACAATTCTCTACAAAATGAGCTTTAAAGCTAAACATTTTGATCAAAGTTTTGATTTTCTTATCGAATTATTAGCATTTTTTTGGTCAAAATGTTTATTTTTTCAAATGAGTTTAGCGTTACATCATTCGTAGCGGTTTATTAAGCTGATTCCAAATACTGACTTATTTTTGTCCAGAAGTCCCATTTAGACCGTAAAAAGTAGAAAATAGTGAAAAAAGTTCGAGAAAAAGCGTCTATGGGCCATTTTGTTTTCAAAATTCCTCTGTCTTCCAAAGGTCGTAGAACAAAGTTTCATAGCTCATTTTGTAGAGAATTGCCAAGTCTACAAAGTGCGAGGTTCATTGTTTAGGCTGAGTTGACGAAGAAGAGTTAATTTTATTCGCAACATTTCGTTTTCAAAACTTGCAATTTTTCACTTGTCTACCCTACAAAAACCACTTCCATTTCAAAAACACACGATGTTGTTCAGCTTTTGATGGTCGTTCAATTGAGGCATTGCTTGAAGAGAACGGACAAAAGATAGCGCAGTTATAGGCAAAATGGGGAGGACAGCACTTTCTTGAAAATTGGCGATGGTCCGCATTTCGTAAATTCTATAATATAACTCAGCCAAAATAAGTCCTGGAAGTCTAAAAATTTTTTCATAATCCCAGTTTTGATTGTAGAATCCGAGAATAGAAAAAAGGTCTATGTCAATTCTTTTTGCGTGACGGAGTGTCTCGTGGAGATGGTGAAATGTCTCTTAATGATCGACTTTTGTCTTAAAAAATATTTATTGATATATTTTCTTTAGCAAAGTTTGCTTTAAAATCTGTGTACAATAGTCATCGTATAACCTTTAAATCAAACCTTCTGTCCACATAAAGATTTTTTCTTGCAGATAACTAATTTATTACTGACCAATCATATCTGAAACTGAAACCATGTTTTTGATATGCAACTGACAGTTTCTTCAAAAAATCCTGCCACGCCTATCGCATGAAATATCTGCTCGTTCCCGTCGGATCCCATGAGATAACTTTTTCAAAAACTCGTCCCATGGGAGGGAATGGGCTTGTCTTATCCCATTAACACGATCAGATTTAACACAAATAGGACAGAAACACTTTCTAGATTTTCTGACGTCCTAACTTCACCTTAAAGAGAAAAGCAGGACGACATTGACAAACTCTGTTGTAACATTTCTTCTTTCACACATTTTTGTACTTGAAGTTGTTGCCGGTCATGAAACAACATCGACATTAATGACATGGACAATTTATTGTTTAACACAAAATCCTGAGATACTTTTGAAACTTCAGAATGAAATCGATTCAGTTCTCAACGGACGACCACCAACATCAGAAACATTGTCAAGTTTAATCTATACGGAAGCTGTACTAAAAGAATCATTACGTGTCTATTCACCCGTACCAAATCTTCTAAGAAAATGTGTAAATGAGAATACAGTTGTTGCCGATGATGGTAAACAAATTTTCATTCGGAAAGATACGGAAATACTCTTAGATTTTTATACACTTCATCAGTAAGTATCGATTTAATTCGAGTCCAAATTCTATAAATGTCGCTTATTTCTTTGCATAGTTCCGAAAAATATTGGCCAGATCCCTTCAAATTTGATCCAACACGTTTTCTATTGAATGAAAATAGTACTGGTGTGCAATCAAATATATTTTTCCCATTTTCAACTGGTACACGCAGTTGTATCGGTCAGGGTTTTGCAATGATTGAAGCAAAAATTATGTTATCATTGATTATACAACAATTTGAATTTACACTGATACCAGGACAAAAGTTTATACCAGAAATTGTTGTGACAATGAGGTGTGTATGATAATAGTTCGTAATTAGGAAGAAATCTATTTTTTTTCTTTCTCATTTATAGACCCAAGGATGGTGTATGGGTTCGAATGAAGTCTAGACAGTACTAGATTGCATAAGTCGTCTTCTGGTGGGAACTCCGAACTTTGTGAACGGGTTTTTCTTATAACATAACTGTAAATTCTGGCGCTTTTTTTTTCGATAAAAATTGTAAAAATACTTTGTATAGTAACTATTGTCGTTATTTGAAAAAGAAATGCGCTTGATGAGAGAACGCTGGGTTTAAAGCGATGGCAGTTTATACTACATGATCTATGAATATCGAGAGATGTTTCAGTATATTACATAATAATAAGACACTCTGGATCACTATGGTTCAAGAAAGGCTGCAACTTTGCAGAATAAACTTTGTTTCTCTGTCTGGAAAGAAAATCCGGAAACGGGTTACTGGTAGGGCACTTTTATTGGGCAGTTAGCGATCTATCAGTGTACTAAGATGTTCCTATCTATCACGTAATAATGAGAGACGTTGGCTCAATATGGTTCAATAAACAAGAAGGTAACTGTGCAGATTAAATTTGTTTTTCAGCATCGTTTCATAACTGACTACTTGTATTACATTCATCTTTCGTTTTCTGTCATATTTTTGAAAATTATTATATTTTTTTGTCTGTTCTAAAAAAACTTGATTCGAAAGTGATTCTTCTAGTCGAACGGATAGATCATAAGATGTCCGATTTCCTATTAACATGCTAATTAATTAGAATTTTCGAGAAAAAGGAAATGGTAGGACCTTAACTTAAACGAACAAATTTGTGCGTATATGTTTACCTTATTGAATGCACTACGCTTACGCAAAACATATGTTCGTTTACAAAATCGCAGCACTGTCACTTTAAAAGTGCTCCGTGCAGAAGTTCTTTCGCTACACAGCAGAGTCGTAAAATATGTTCGCACATTTGTGTCGAATTGAGTTTTAGGTGAAAATAAACAATGCCAGAATGATCAACATAGTCGATTACATATTTATCCACTGTTCTGCAGATTACTGGATATGTCCCTATGTGAGAAACCTACCTTTCGGAGAACGCTTATAACTCCAGGACCGAGACAGATACAGACCTATGACTTATGAAAGACTAGTTCCCGATTATCGATTACATCATTTGTAGTGCCAAAGTGAATTTTGTCTAACCTTCCCGTGCTCTGGGTAGCTTTTCGAAAATGATATACAAGCTCTGCGACACAACACAACTGCGGAGTATTTACACGTAAAGGACGTTATTAGTTTCGTCAGACTCTGTTACCAGAAAAAAACCAAAAACAGAAAGATAAAAATGTTTCTCTTTTACTTTTCCTCTACTGATTCTTTTTTGACTCATATTTAAACTGACCCACAGATCAAATGTTAGAAAAACAGTTTCTATTGCTTATTCTTATGCACGTACTTGGATTTACCAACATATGCCACCATTGGTGAGTCCAATAGGTCAAAGGGAATCGCATGAGAAAATAAGTAATTTATATACAAAGTAAGTACACAGCAATTTTAAGGAACGAGAGGGTATAAAAACATAAATGCTTTGCCACTTTGGTTGATTCAAAGTTGAAATCTTTTTGTTTAACTATTTTGGATATCAAAACGGAGCGCTCTTTTTTTTCTCAAAATATATGAACTTCTACTATGTGCAGCTTCGTTAAGTATATTAACTTCGCCAGGTCTCAAAATAAAAATGCACTAAAGTGAGAAATGCATCAAAGATTGATGTCATCGCAATCGTGAGTATCCTCGGTATAAGATCGCTTTGTCGTTGGTGACTTTCATGATGTAGTGAGTACCAATGCTGTTCTGTTTGACGCACAGGGGATTGGAACTCACCCATTCCGCCTCATTTACAGTATGCCATATTGGCTCT